ATTTTCTGGGCAACATGTAATTTCAGATTCTGATTAAATATGAATTTCTGAATATTATAATTCATTATATGTTAATTATGAGGACGTATGGCTAGCATTCTAAAAGAAAATTCAACATAGCTTTTTAATAAGCGATTAGATGGAGTTTGGTTGGCTGACTTATACATCAATTTAAAGAATAAAACATAGCATTGAAAGTTTTGCATTGTCATCAATTTGACATAGCATCACCAGAAAAGTAATATTAGTATATTTTGTATATGTCTATTTTTGTATATTTTTATAGAATGTAGTTTGTTTTATTTTTTTATTCTCCTTCATTTTTTTGAATTTTTAAGGTTCCTTCCTTTATTCCTTCGTGATATTTTCACTTTACCGTTTTAATATTTAATTTTATATTTGTTATTTCATTTTATTTTAATTTCAATAACTTTAGTGATTTGCATTTATTTATTTAGTTTAATATATTGACATTGTGAAATTATAAAGTGTCAACGTCGAGACAACACTAATAAATTTGTGATAACGTCAATGTTACTTCATTTTTACTCAACAAAAACCTTCAGCTTACATTTAAAATTGTTTATAAATTCATAGAAAATACAAACAATATAATATACAGTAGCTTCCAAAAAAACGTCCTACTATACTGCTTATTATTAATCATGTGCTTTATGATTAATAACAAAATCTGATGAATATTTATTAAATATATATACTATAAGATCTTTATAATACATCAATTTTAATAATACTTGATAAATCAGAAAATGTTTATCACGTGATTCTTTATTAAATGATGGTGCGTTTAATATGGTGCTTTCACAAATATAACAAATTTATTAAATTTTTTTAAAAAAACTAAATTAATCCCAATTAAAAATTTCACCAAATATTCTCACCATCAAGTATAACTACCTTTTGCTTGATTATATAATTTATTCTTTCTGGCATTGATTCTATCAATTTGGTGTATGTTTCTAATACAGTTTCTTCCCATATCTTATGAATTTGCTCTCATAACATATACTTCCCTCTAATTTTAATATCTAATGCTCTAATACGATGATCCACATCATTCTACAAGTGTTCAATTGGATTCAAGTCAGGAGATTGTGATGGCCAAAGTAAAAGCTTTACATTATTGTTTTCAAACCATTTTTTAGTTAGTATAGTGATATGTTTGGGATCATTATTTTGCATAAAGATAATATTATCAGTACTTAATTCATAGTACTGCAAAGTCTCCATAAAGTCTTCATCCAAATCTATTTTACAAAGATAACCTACACTATAAGATGTAAAACATCCCCATACAAAAACACTTCCACCATCAAACTTAACAGTAGGTTTAATATGAGTATCTTAAAGGGGTTCTCCTATTTTTTTCCAATAATACTCACGTTCATCTGAACTAAATATTTGAAATTTGGACTCATCTGATCATACAATTTTGCTCCATTCATTTATTATCTAATTCTTATATCTCTTTGCAAATTTAAGGCATTTTTCACAATGTTTTTTTGATAAAAGTGACTTTTTTACACTTTACTCGAGCTACCAAACCATTTCTTTTCAAAGCTCTATGAACAGTATTAGTGCTGACTTCAATATTATCAGAAGTTTTTAGTGATTTTTGGAGTTGGATTACAGTTGTACATTTCTTTGTCATTAAACGTCTTATAAGAGAACATTCATTTTGCTTATTCAGTTTTCTTGGACGACCTGAACCTGGTTTGTTTTCAACTTTACCAGTCTCTTCATACTTTTTTTTAAGTCTTGAAATGGTTGTATGGCTTTTACAACCAACTTTGGCGGCAATTTCTCTTGAAGCAAAGCTGTTTTTAAGCAGTATAATTGCTTGTGCTCTCTGTTCAGAAGTTAACTGAACCTTAAAATAAAAATACAAAAAAAAGGTTTTTAAAGGAGTGTGAGTATGCGAAAGGAAGTGTTTATTATAAAATTTATTATTAACAAATAAAAAAATTTTTATTTATTCAGTTTTTTGTTTTATTAAATGATAAAAATAATGCATCATGGTTTTGAAAAAAAAAGTGTGTAGATCAATCTATGTAATACAAAAAGAAATCTAACTATATTTATTTTGAAGATCATTGGAAGCCACTGTATATATCATTTTTATTCCTAATTTTCTTTATTTTATTAATTAATTATTTTTTTTACATTGTTATTTATTTAGTATAATTATTATATTTTTATCTTATCTATATAGTGTCGATAGTGTTTTTAAATTTTTTCAGATAGAGTTTTTATTACGATTCACTTTTGTAGTTAAGTATCATGATCAAGAAGTTTGAAAGTTTAAATAAAAATTTATTATTAAACTAGAGTTATGAGTCTAATCCCAGATTGTTTGTCTTATATGGAACGAAATGTCATATTTGCATTTGCTTTTTAAGATTATAATAATAAAAAGCGTTAAAATTTTAAAAAAAAATTTTTGTATCAGGATTTCCTGGAATATCCGTTTAGGAATCGGGTATCTTTTTTTTATTTGGGTATGACCAGATTCTGAAAATCTGACGGATCGCAGCTCAACATTGAACAAATATTCCAAAGAAAAATGCTCATTATTCTCATTGATATAAATTTATTCATAATATTTTATACGGCGTAGTGCTAATGACGTAATTTTAGAGTTTTTTTCATAAGTATTTTTTAAAATAATTAAAAAGGTTTTTTAAGATGATTATGTAATTAAATTTTTCTGCACCTTGAAAATTAATATTTATTTTGCCAACTGTATGACAATGCAGGAGGCTGTTGATCCTAAAGATATAAATGGTGTGCAATATGAGTTAGTATAAAATGTATTCATTTTTTTATAAATATGGAATTTACGATTAAAAAGAATGAAAATTTATCTCCAAAATTAAAATCCAGTCCTATACCAATTACGTTTCTTCCTTTTCAACGCCGATACAGTATGATGATAAGTGTTATTGTGAGAATGAATACTCACAAACGCTTATATTTTATCAAAAATATTGTAAAAAGTGTTTATCGGTTTATGTTAGTGCTATTCCTGATGAGAATATGTATTTGGATGTTCTTATAGGCACAAATAATGTTCAATGTAATAAACATGACGCTAGGAATACAGATTTTTACACACAAAACATTCACGAATGGTGTGAATCTTACTCAGATATTTTATGGTTCAAACAAGTATATACAGGAATATGCGGTGATATGCGTAATTTAGCAAAGAATTTTGAAGTAATTGAAAATAATAAGGATTGTAAAATATGTGGAAATCTAATTTATCGAGATATATCAAGATACTTTAACTTTAAGATATATTCCGATTGTTATCAATTTTCTTTTGTTTGGGTAAAATCAATTTTAACCAATAAGGATATTCCAATCCTTTATTTACCATGGTGGGATCAATGTATTGTTCATTGTAGAAATTGTGGCAACAATATCATTAACGTATCTGATTGTCACAAATGTTGTGAATATTGCCAAATAACTTATAATGGATGCAGATATTGTTTAACAACAAATGTTATTGGTGGAATTGTAAATCAAACCTGATGCAAAAAATGCCAAAGAACAACTCTTATTGATATTGATACATCACTTATAAACGGTATGACATCATTAATAAGCAATGAAAACATTATTATAAATGAGTTTGTTCATAAGACAGTTATTAATAGTCGGATTCATTTTGATAATTACATCAGTATTGTGAAGGGTTCCATTGATGATATTTTTGAAAGTATCTTTAAATTTTCACGCTCAGTATTTAAATGGATTTTATTTTCTTAAATTACAAATTTAGAAAAAATAGCTGAAGGAGGGTTTGGCATAATTTATAAAGCAAATTATTTAGGTTTTACACCTAAAAATAATAATTCAAAAATCGCAAAGATTGCTATTAAAAGGTTTTTAAATTCAAAGAAGTTTAGCAAATACTTCTTAAATGAGGTGATTATCCAATATTTTATATTTAATGTATTTATATTTAATAAACTAATCCAAAATTTCATTATTAGATAAGTTCAAATCTTATTTGCTGTGCTGATACAAATACTTATGTTATGAGATGTTATGGGATCACAAATGATCCCAAAACAAATGATTATATGTTAGTAATGGACTATGCATCAGGAGGTGATTTACATCATTATTTGCAAAGGAATTTTACCAAAATATCATGGAATCAAGATAATTTAAGTGATAATGAAAATAAATTAAAAATTTTAAGTGATATTATATGCGGGTATATATACTTTATTTTTACTATTTATATTTATTATTAAATAATTTATAATACTAATTTTATTTAATTTTAATTTAGACTTCAAAACATTCATGATAAAAATCTCACACATCGAGATATTCATAGTGGAAATATTTTACTTACTCATTATAATTGGCAAATTGGAGATTTAGGATTATCGCAACCTGAAAATAATACTTCATTAAATAATGAAATATATGGAGTAATACCTTATATTGCGCCAGAAATATTTAATGGTGCTTCATTTTCAAAAGCATCTGATGTTTATAGCTTGGCTATGATTATGTGGGAACTTACAACAGGTTGTAAACCTTTTGCTAATGTTGAACATGATCACAATCTAATTTATAGTATTATAGATGGAAATCGACCTGAAATTACAAAGGATACTCCTGAATGCTATACTAATTTATTAAAAAGGTGTTGGGATACTGATCCTTTGAAAAGACCTTCTATATGTGAAGTTTATGAATCTGTTTTTGATTGGAATTTCAAAAATAAAAACGATACACAATTTTATAAAGCTGAGCAAGACCGATTGGAATTAATAAAATTAAGGAAAATTGGTTCAGAATCGACTGAAAATCATTCAAAAGCAATCTACACAAGTAGAGCATTAAATTCTATAATTTCTAAATCTTTATCTATGAATTCATTTACGAATTCACTTAATAGGAATAGGAAACAAGGTATTATAATTACTTAAATTTATAATTCAAGAACAAATATGTTAAGAAAAAGTGTGATTAATCAAATATTATCATTTAATATCCTTCTATTTAATGTAGGATATATTTCGAAGGAGCATGAATGTGATATAAATACTCAAGGGTAATTTTAAAATTCTTAATAAATAATATATGCGGTTTGATTACTTTAATTTAAAATTTTACAATATTTAGTTCGCCCTTATCAAGTAATAATCCTGGTGCAGGTAGATCAATATATATTGGAATCAATTAAAATTAAGTTTTACATTAATTAAATTTTTTGTATTTTGTTCATTAGAATATATATTTCAAAAGAACTTGAAATTGATATTGCAAGGTATTATTATATATTAAATAATATAATTAAAGTGTTAATTTAAATATATTTTTAATGATGATTTATTAGACTACCTACAATAAATGTGAATTCAACAACTCAAATTGTTTCGATTGCTCATCATCAAAGTGTAATTTATTCACATCAACCAAATTCATCTATTTCATCTGAAAATTTTTTCAGAAAGCGTGAAATTAAAGAATTAGAAATCAACACTCAAATAAATAGTAAGTATGAATTTTTATTAAAGCTTATGACCGCTAAATTTATTAATTTTATTAAAAAAATCTTGTTATTATAGGAAAACGCCCTAAAATAGGTGATAATTTAATTTCGAAACAAAAATATAGACTTATAATGTATGTGTATTTATTTATCTTTACAATGAAGTTCTTTTGCTCAATGATCTATAGCTTGATTTTTAGCAGTGTTCATATTACATTTTATTAACTAATATATGCATAAAATTTTATACAATTGATTAGGTAAAATTGTCGAGAGTAATTCAACGATTCAATACTACATAACATTATTCGATCTCTGTAACTAAAAAAAAAAAAAATTTAAAAATCTGCATATTATTTGCGGCAAATAGAAAAAATAATCTTTTTTTTACAGGTTTTCGCTAATAAAATATTGGTACTCTTCTATAAAAGAAAACAAGGTTACGTGTTAACTTCAAGTTGTTAAATGTGCTGTACTCTGAAGCCGTGATCCTTGATTAGTCATGTGATCAAAGTTTATTAACAAAGTTGACGAAGTGGATAAAGTAGACCAATGTGACAAAGTGGTCATCGTTGATCTATTAGATATATTAAATAGATTAGATTTGTTAATTATATTTTATTTGATAGAGTTATTATATTTATCTCATTTATATTATTTATCGTTTTTATTAGATTTGTTATATTTTATTATATTATGTTTTGTTTTGTATAAATATCTTGTATTTTCCCTTGAGTTGAAAAGTAACTCGAGATAGGGTTCAGGATAAACCAAGAGTTCTATTGACTATTACCTTTTGTCGTGTCTTTATATAGGCGTGATTTAATTCAACGTATTGAATTAAAAGTTAATCGTTTACAGATACCAAGCCATGAATAAAATGATCGGAAACTCAAAAATCGAAAATGTAATTGAGAAATATTCACTAAGAAAAAAAATTTTTTTTATTAAGCATTGTATTAAATTAAATATATCTTGAAATTTTCGTGACAATTGGACTTTATAAAATTTTAAATTCTAAAAATTTATTAAAAAATTGCATATTTTGTGAAAATTTTCAGCTATATTCGAGATAATCGTTGCAAACATAGTTAGATTTAAATATGATCGTCATAATGCATCCTAAACGAATTAGGCAATTAAAATAAATAAAAAGTCATGGTTTTCAAAGATATATATACTATTTATAAGTTTACTTAGAGCTGATTTTATTAATAAAATAAATTTTTTCTCATTAGTTGAATATTTCTATTATTTTTTCGATTTTTGAGTTTCCGGTTGTATGTCTTAATTATCGATCATAAGTTTTCTTATAGACTGAATATGTAATTCAATCATATATATTAAATTTTTTACAAGGAACGGCGACATCTTGGCTACATGACATAATTGGCACTGACCGAAATTGATCTACAAATTTAACTAAAATTAACAGGACCTAAATTATCGTTGGGTAACAATATTTTATAAAGACATGTTATTTTTATCTGAAAACATCACGGTTGAAACTCCCGTGACAACAGATTACCCGTTCCATTTAATGCTTAATCTGATCAGTATCACATGAGAACTGAGATGATCGTTTTAAATTTAGTTATCGGGCGGCGTATTTATCAAATTAGTAATAAAAATTTCAATGAACTTACCAAGTTTTTTCACATTAAAAAAAAAATGTCTTTGGAACGCTTGCAAGATGATTACGAAATGTTACTTGAAACAGACGAGGAATATGATGTTATTATATATGCCGGTGAAAATGAAAACGTTAAAGAATTTCATGCTCTTTCAAATATTTTGCGTATCAGGTCGCAATATCTTCGTATTGAACTAACTAAAGGAAATGTTGAAAAAAATGATGGAAAGTTCATTTTAAAAATACCCAATATTTCACCACATATTTTTAAAACTATTTTAAGGTAAATTAGTTGGCATTTAATGTAAGATAATTACAACAATTATATCTAACATCTTTTTTTTTTTTTTTTTTTTAATAATTTAGATTTATATATTGTGGGAAAATTGAAATTACGAAATTTGAAGATCTTGAATTATTAAAAATCTTAATAGCAGCAGATCTACTAAACCTTCAAACTTTAGTTCCCAGAATTGAAGAATATTTACTCAATGATCATCACGAGTTTTTACAAAAGAATTCTATAGAATTTCTTGAAATGATTTATCAACACGAGTCTTTTGCAAAATTATTCAATTTTTATGTTGAAAAAATCTGTGAAGATCCTGAAGAGTTGATTAAGTCTGATGAATTTATCGGTATAAAAGCACCTTTATTGGAATTACTTTTGAAACGGGATGATTTATGTTTAGAAGAAATTGATATTTGGGACAGTTTAATTGAATGGGGTTTTGCTCAAAATCCGACTATTCCTAAAGATGTCAACAAATGGAGCAAAGAAGTAACTACAATCATGGAAAGAACACTCCACAGATTTATCCCTCTAGTTAAATTTCATTATATATCATCAGAAGATTTTCTTGAAAAAGTAGTTCCTTTTAAGAAATTATTACCGAAAGAATTATTTAATGCCACATTAGCATCTTATTTGGCACCAGTCAAGAAATCAAATATCGATATACAACCACCTAGACAGTCAAAATTTGATTCAATATTAGTTAAATCTCAGCATTTTTCCATATTCTCGAGTTGGATAGTTAAGAAGAACGAATTATATTATAATAATAAGAACATGCCTTATGAATTTAATTTATTATATCGTGCTAGTAAAGATGGCATGACGCCAGCAGCATTTCATCAAAAATGTGATAAGAAAGGTGCTACTCTAGTTATAGTAAAAATTCAAAATTCAGAACAAATTGTGGGAGGATATAATCCAATTGTATGGGACTCGGTTAGTGGATGGAGGCCTACTACAGATAGTTTTATATTTTCATTTAAAAATGGAAAGGACCTTCTAACCGCGAAAGTAGGATATAGTAATTTTCAATGTTCTATGGGTTGTTTTAAAGATTATGGACCCTTATTCAATGATGATTTAAGACTAGAACAAAATGGTAGTTGGACAAGCTATCAAGGTTCTTATTCCAATGTTGATGATATACCTGCGAGTTTCGATATGTGCGATTACGAAGTATTTCAAGTTATTAAAAAATAACAAAATGTAATATTTTAAGTTAAACACTTATGCAATATGTAAAAATGAAATAAATTTTTTATCATTATAAAATGAATAATATCAATTTATGAGTCATCTAAATTCACAAAAATCCAATTTTCGAATAAGTTTTTTTTTTTAAAAAAAAAAAAATAAAGAATGGTTATTTTGTACCATTTCTTGTCTGCTAAATTTATTTCATACCTAGCTTCTTAATAGGCTTTTTTTGCAGAATTATGTATGTAAAATAATTTGGTAAAATAATTTGCGTCTACACTTCACTATCGTGTCTTCGTTAGGTGTATTTCTTTAACTGGAACGAGAAGTGTCCTTTTAATTTGTAACATTATCATCGAGAGAGAGAGAAAATGGTATATTTATCCTCATGTATATTTATCAATAATGCAATAGGAAGAAATTTAGATATTTCATATGTCACGTGTGCTTTTTAAGTACATAATAATTCAATATTATCAAATTGAAATTATAAAAATATCTCTAACTACACTCTTTTTCACCTTTGAGATACAAATCTCTAAATTATCACTTGTAATCGAGTTCATGCAGTAATAAATTTGAATTTTTTTTTTTAAAGACCAATTTAATCATTCAATGGTAATTTATTATGAATATAGCTTGATTTTCACATATCGCTCCTACTAAAGTTTTAATTCATTCGCTTGAGAAATTAACCATTTTTATGAGAAGAAAAGGTTTTTAATCTGATTATGAATAATTATCGCTGTAAAATATTATGCATCAATTAAATAGAAAACTACATAAAAAAAACCGAACAAAAGTTAAAGTAATTTCTAAATTCTAATTGACCGAATGATAAGTTTTTCAAATACAAAATTCTAAGAATAAATTAGAGAGTGATGATTTTTTTTTAAGTTGTGAGTTTCCTTTGATTACTTTGAATAAACTTTGTATTTTTATGGATGCCGTAACGAGGAAGGGGAGAGAGAATCCACCCGCGATAATCGTAGAAACCAACGAAGAACCAAAAATGCGGCCTACTTTTTGCCGAAGGCGAGCCGAAAAGCAAAATACCTATTGATGGACAAATTATTGTTTCGAAATGTATATTACATCGTTATAATTATGATAGCTTTTTCAACATTGCGTTTATGATTTCGACTTAACATTTAGGGAAATGGAAGGTTCAAAAGAGCGACTCAGAGTCCGTTTTGGAACCTATTCTAATTCAATTTATCTGAGTTACAAACAATTTTAAAAATCGAACTGGAACCGACTCCAGATCGGCTCAAAAGAGTCGGTTCTATATTGTCAACAAATTAATTTTTAATTGATCAACTTCGCATGCTCTATTTGTATAAATTGAAATTGCTCCTAGTCTTAATCTACTTTCGAGAGCCGAAGTAAAACCGAAGAAGAACCGAAATGGAACCGAGAGAACTGTTCCTCCTATAATTGTACAGTGAATGTTTCGTTATTTTATATTGAAAATTTGAGAATAATATACGGAATATAAAGTTTCCCTTTTTAACTTAACCTTTTTGATTATAGATAAAATTTGATGACATAAATTTCAAATCTTTCCTAGTCGATTTAATGATTAAATTTTGATAGCTACCATTTAACATGAAAATAGACATGAAATTGAATCCAAAACTTTCTATTAAAATATTGTCAGTTTCAAAATTCTCCGATCCACTAGCTCCTTCATTATGTGAATTAAGATGTAATATAAAAATATTTTCAAACTTAATCAAAATACGAAACACTCATGATCTAATCACTAAAAAGCTTTCAGAAGGTAAGATTTTAACTTATAAGGCCCAAGTTCACGATAATTATTAAAATTAACATTCCATCACACTTACAAATTTTTTAAAAACATCAAAAACAATATCATTACGGCATATGTTCATAACCAGTATCTTGCTATGCTTGAAATTATCCAAAAGATTCCAAGTTTATTGGATCAAATACAATTCTTAATTCTAAATATTTCAAGTATCTGGTAAGATTTGACCAAAATTTTTCAAGACCATGGAACAAACTATTAAATACGTGTATAGTTTTATCGATTTGAAAGGAAAGATATTTGAGATGTTTACGAACGTGAGTGATTAATTTAAACAACTGAAGAATGACCACATCATCAATCTCGAAATTGAATTCTATCACAATAATTTTCAAAAACGTTTTCCATTCAAATCA